TTTCACACTGACAGCCACTAGAGGGCACTCTAGGCTTTTGTACCAGTATCTGCAACTCCTGTACCACTGAAAATGTACGTTTGTTATTTTCACACTGACAGCCACTAGAGGGCACTCTAGGCTTTTGTACCAGTATCTTCTACTCCTGTACCACTGAAAATGTACGTTTGTTATTTTCAAACGGACAGCCGCTAGAGGGCACTCTAGCTGGCTAGTGTGTCTTATAGTCTGGAGCGACAAGTTTTTACAGTTTTGCACTTCTTCTTTTTTTCACTTTGCAGTGTTTCTTGAACAAATTGCATTTGACCTTTGAAACGGCTATCTAAAGCATTTTTTTGTGTCTTTTTTGTGTTTTGTGTTTTTGTCTCTCATCAGAGTACAGGAGATACTGAAGTGTCCATTGTTGCTCAAAACAAAGACTGTTATGAGAGCGGCATTGTGTGTAGGAAATTACTCATCATTCATGTCGGACTTAGCAAAATTTACTTTACGGACAACTCCGGAAACCCTGTACGTTCTTCGATAAAAACAGCCATGACACGAATTACGAGAACAAATATTTGTCCTTGTTATTTAATCTCAATATTTTACTCCCTCAGAGCCCCTCCACTGTTGTAGGTCATGGATCGGAATTTGAATTATGGAAAGCAGGCTACTACACTGTTGTGCAGTTTTCCAACCAGGACCTGACTATTCTCTGGGACCGCAAGACAACTGTGCACATCAGAGTTGGGCCTCAGTGGAAGGTTTGAATATGCATGTTTTTTTTTTTTTTTAGAAAAACAATAATAAAAAAAAAAAAATTCTAGTTAACATTCTTTTTCCAGGGCCGTCTTGGTGGACTGTGTGGAAACTTTGACGGCATTACAGTAAACGACATGAGCACTTCTAGTCACATGGAAGTCAGCAATGCACAGGCCTTTGGAGATAGCTGGACTCTGGGTCAGGTACGTATGAGCCGTGAACTCTTCGCCGAATGTGGGATTCGTAAGTAATCGAAAGCCAGTTCACAAAATGTTTTGTTTTATGTTTTAGTGCGAAAGTGACTACGTCGTGGAGCGACCGTGTGAAAGAGACTTGGGTAGGCAGCCGTACGCAAAGAGAGAGTGTGCACTTCTTTACAGTGACGTCTTTGCTCCGTGCCACAACGTGGTAAGTGTCACTGAACTGAGGAACAGGGAGACGGTTAACGCTCTGTTTACAAATCTGGGGGTGTCATTGACTTACGTCGGAATTTCCTTCCTAGTGATTCTAAGTCAGAACTCGCATACTGTACGGTCACTGTAAAGTCACTGTCCTACTGACTCGCAGACTTACTACAATTACACCGTAGTAACATTACGATCTAGAACAGCGGCCCCCCAACGTTTTTGTACCAAGACCAGTCGGCTTTTATCAGCCGTTACTGCGGAACCAGTAATACCATGCCAACATTGAAGGTCTTTTAGACTTTTTTTTTTGTTAATATCGAAGTCTGAATGACCTATTGTTTTAAACATTGCCAAAATATCTTTTAATGAAGTATGGGGTGTTATTTTTGAATGAAGTAAATTAGTAAAACTGAAGAACCAGATGGACCACGGACCTGCCCCGGTTCGTAGACCAAGGTTTGGGGGACCCCTAATCTAGGACATAAACACATTTTTTTTTGCTTTTTGCTTAGTTTGACTCTCAGTGGGCGGTCCTCTCGATCTCGCCAGTACAGTTTTTCTTATTCTTTGGGGCAAGAGGAGGTGGGTTCGGGTGGTTGTAAACTTCCCCAGGGACAGCTATGAATTTACAAAAACCTTATGCAAGTTTTAGTTTTAAGTGAAAACGTACAGGGACATTTTTAAATAGTCCACAATAATACTGTATCTTTATAGCAAATATTTTTGGGATTTTTCATAAAAAAAGCTTATACTATACCTGTAACATGTTCAACTTTTACAAAAAATACTCTCCAAACAATCAGAAAACCAACCAATCAGATTAGCTCTTTAAAAAGATTATGGAGACATTTTACCTACTGTCAAAGGTTTTTGTGAATGTGCTTTACTATACTGTATGTACTTTGGAAGTCTGTACGTCCGTGTGTGTTTGTGCATCTTAGGTGGATGTTGGCTGGTTTTACCGAAACTGTTTGACAGACACATGCAACTGTAACCGCGGGGGTGACTGTGAGTGTCTCTGCACATCGATCGCCGCATATGCACACAAATGCTGTCAGCAGGGCGTCACAATCCACTGGCGATCGCCATCTGTCTGCCGTGAGTATGTCGATGCGAACGGATGCAAGGGTGCTCGTCACTTTTTCTTTTACCGTTTTCACACTTGGTCGCCTAATATGGTATTATATATATATATATATATATATATATATATATAATTCGCACTTTTTTTTCATCCTTTTGACGCGACTTATACTCAGGTGTGACTTAGTCACAGTGGGGGGGCCTTGAGATATGAGTTAATCCGTTCCGCAACGCGCACTCGTGTGTTGATCCGCTCGTATCTCGATTGCTTTTTTCCCCGATTAAAAAGAACTAAAAACCAATTCATTTCTTCCCGTCCCCAAGAATATATACTATTAATTAATTCTATTGAAATTCCCTCCATCTTCACATCAAATTCATAGATATAAACTAATCTATTGAAATATAAAAAAAATTATAACTAGGCTTGTCTACCAGTATCTGCTACTCCTGTATCGCTGAAGATGTACGTGTTCGTTATCTTCAGCCGCTAGAGGGCACTGGTGCGACTTATACTCTGAAGCGGCTTATATATGTTTTTTTTTCTTCTTCATTATGCATTTTTTGGCTGGCTTGCTGACATATACTCTGGAGCGACTTGTAGTCCATAAAATACGGTACTATGCTGATCAAACGACCACGTCTGTGTGTCAGTCTAGCAGTCACGCAAAACAAATGTGTACTCAATCCCCTTCCGAGCGTATAAACGGATAGGTATCCTATGCGTAGTGAATATCTAATTAAAAAAAATCTATGTGCTGCAATGCAATATATAATACCATATTAACTAATACATGAGGCGATTCTGGATTGAGTGTGAAAACGGTATAAGGTGTCTGAACAAGTCCTACATTGCCGAGCGAAATTGGAAAACTAAAATACTGTTCAACTTTCAAACTCTCTTTCAGCGTATGATTGTGAATACTATAACCGAGGTATGTAAGAGACCAAAGTAGCAATAACTCCATCATTTTTGGATATCGCCAACAGACATCTCTGTACCAACTTGCCTCACCACTTCGCTCTTTTACTTGCAGAACTAGGCGATGGCCCATTTTCATTGGCGAGTGCGTCATTTAAAGACACCATGTTGGGAGTCAACCGCACCAGCGGCACGGTGTTTCCTCTGACTGTAGAGAGACCAGGGCAGTTGCCTGCCTCAGGCCTTCTCTTCAACTTCATGATCACGGCGGGCCTGCACAGGGACAGAACCTCAAGTGAGCGTCGCCGTTTGCATAATTTGAAAGTCAAGTGTGTGAGAACAATATTCAGTGTATTATAATGAAACCAACAAGTACATAGGATCCCTTTCTTAACAATTATCTAAATTCAGAAGGTTATATTTGTATTCAAATTATCGGCACAATCAAACCAAGACTGGGGACTGGTGTAGATAATCAGGTGAACAGGGTGACACTGATAACACAGCAGAAAGGTAGGAGGGAAGGGAAGGGAGACAGACAGACTTCACAGTACCCCAGTCAGGGGCAACTAAAGCAAGTACCGGGGGAAACAAATGCAGGAGTGTCTGCAACACAGCCAGGAACCACCCAAGGTGCAACGGAAGCAGGAGCTGGAACCACCAGTGGTGTCTGGCAGTGTGGGAGCGCCATAGGGTATAAAGTAAATATATATATAAGTATAAAATATTAATGAATATATAAATATAATATATATAAATATATAAAATATTAACAATATATAAACATATAAAAAATATATATATATATTTAAATATATATAAATATATAGCTCGTACATAAAGTACGAGCACCTTTCCTTTTCACTATGTACACAACTTTCAGTACCACTCCATCATATACAGAAATATTCGGGCAATACTGTGATCATGGCTTGGACTCTTGGAATAAATCGATGAAAAAGCTTCCCGTGGGTAGAAAACCAGAAATACTTTGAGATGTTCTTTTCTTTATGTTTATGCTAATTAGTCATGTGCTGAGAAGAATGTGTTTTATGCAAAGATCTCTTTTTTTAGGGTTTTGATTTACCTGTTCTTTAAAGATAGAAGCCAACTCCAAATGTGTGTCTTTTCAAAGGAGTTCCTGTCGTTTCGCTGGAGTCCGCAGAGAGACCCAACTTTTTCCTGGCCATATCTGGGCGGGGTCCACTTCATTTGGAACACTGGAGTCAAGACGCAGACTTCAGCACCAGGGCGACCTTTATCCAGCACCAGGGTCTTTTTCAGCCAGGACACACGTCGTTTGAGCTTTTCAGTCAACCAGGAACTTTTCTTACCCTGACACACACTTCTGCACAGCCCCAGAGATACGATACCTCCGACACGTTCAGAACAAGCAGCAGTTTTACTCTAGAGGGTCAGACACCAATATGTGCCTAACATTTCTGCGATGTACACAAAACCAACCCTATGTACATTAACTAATCAGGTACATCTCAACCTTCTCTCGGGCAGAAAGCAGTTTTGTGATACCATACCGTATGATGTGTGAGTGGCGCTATCAACCTTGTGCAAACCCCTGTGTCCGCACATGCCGGGACCCAGATGCAAAACTTTGCCAATTCCTGCCCCTGTAAGAAGCTTGGTATATAAAACATATTCGGTCCACATAAAAAAAACAAAAAAACTGTGCTTATCTTGAATAATAGTTTTATTTTATATTCTCAGTGTGGAGGGCTGTTTTCCACGCTGTCCAAAAACGATGGTCCTTGATGAGGTAACAAGGCGATGCGTGTACCCAGACGACTGTAAGTATAATGATTATACTTGTTGTTGATGTAGTCAATGTACATAACATTTTAAAGAAATCAATTAGGTGACCGGGTTTATATGTTTGTTTTTTACTATTGTGATGTGGACTTTCCTAACTAATGTTGCTAGAGAATGGTTTGTTTCTTTGGTTGAGGTGAATATTTTTCAATCTGGAATTAGTGCTATCTACCTGTAAAAAAATGTATATATATTATAATTATATTATATTATTTCTATACATCGGTTGACCATGCAACAGAACATTTCTGATGGATGTCATGATGGTTGGTTTGGCTAACAGTTCTAGCGGTCTAGCAGTTCAGTTTTGGATAGATTTAGTTAGAGATGATGGGGTTTCATCAACGCAGATACTGTATGTCCGAGAAACAATCTGAGACTCGTGTTTAGACTGTGGTCCCATCAGGTGGGAATGACAGATAGAGCTGGGTATCATCAGCATATGTATAAAACATGCTAATGTTTAAAACGTTGTAGTACCTTCGTATCGCAGCACATTCAAAGTAAAGGTGTGCTATTGCTTTTGTCATCCAGGTGTGTCCTTGCCTCCAACCTCAACGCCATTTGCATTTGTGACACGATCCAACAGAACTACGACACTTTCAACTCCGGCTACGACCACTACGACTACTATCACTACTGCCACTGTCACTGCTACTACCGCCACTGCTACTGTCACATCAACTGCCGCCAAAACTGACACAACTCTGATTGCGACGACTACTAGAACCACTACTGTCACAGGAACAATCTCTTCCTATCCTACTGATAGGCCTACAACAACAACAACAACAACAACAACCAGCACAATCACTCCAACCGCTTTTACAACGCCCAGCAGGAGGATCACCTCTTCTTCTACCCCATCTCCTAGCGCCTCTCCTTCTGCTCATCTCACCACTCATACCCCACTGGAGACAACCACTGTCGGTAAAACGGAAGTGGCATCCACCCAAACCACAGGGGTCACCACAACAACGCCGTTCCCTGAGGCTCTTACGGCCCCTTCGACTTCTTTGCCTCACACTATTTTAACTACCACAACTTTACCTTCAACTTCCACACCCGTCACCATTACTACAAAAACCACAAAACCTTCCATCGCCTCGACTACGCTCCCTCTAACCTTACCCACGACGACTGCCCCAACTTCCACCACTTCTCTCCGTAAAACTACCTCTACTCCGCAACCCACAACAAAGGACACAACAATAAGCCAAGAAACCACTGCCACCTCAGCAGAACATGCAACTACAGTAGGGGTTCCTACAACGACAGTGGACGATGCTGAGCCTACAACGCCTGCATTATTAAGTAAAACGGAAGCATCGACTTCATTTATCTTCCCCACCACGCCTTGCATAGTAAGTGTCACGTTGTTATTACACTGAATCCCTGATAGCAATGAAAACATTTCATACTATGAGTACTGATGCAGCCACATGGACGATGAGAATTTCCTCAGATTTGCAGAAATACTGGAGGCCTGTACTCAATATATCATTTCAAAAGGATGTGATAAAAAAAAAAAAGAAGGTCCACGCAGGTGATGAAGCAACAACAACCTCTGACCCTAGCATTAATTGGCAGCGTCCACAGCATAGGCTTGCAGCTTCTAGAGTTCTAGAACCTAATTTAACCCGTTCATGCATGACGGTCACTACAGTGGACAGCTATTAAAATGTCATTTTCTATGATAAGAATAGGTTTTGATGGCAGTATTGCATGTAAGCCTCTAGAGTAGATTCTCAGGCGTCCACTGTAGTGACCGTCATGCATGAAAGGGTTAAGACACAGCTTTGGTGCACTGGTACAATAATGTTTAAGGTCTCATAGCCAAAGGCTTTGTGCAACTTTCTCCACAGCCACCCTATTCCCACCGTATTGACGAGTGCGCAGAGCTGATCTGTTTCAATGGAGAGCTGTTGCTGCACAACTCTTCTCTCCACTGTCGCTACAACACCTCACAGCCTCACTGCAGTTTGCTGGGACTGCCCATCCTGATTAACACCGACCCCTGCTGTCCTTTGTGGCAATGCCCATGTAGGTTTGGTTTTGTACAGTTAAAAATTTAGAATACGACTCTTGTCTAGACATAAAAATGTTTTTTTGTTGTTGTTTGTTTTCAGGCCGGTGTACTGTGATGTCAGATCTGCGTGTGATCACCTTCGACGGCAACAATGCAGCCTTGTATGATAATGGCTCCTATATCCTGGTTAACCTGCCTAGAGAGACAATTATTGGCTCAGTTGAGAAATGTCCCACCAGTCAGGTAATGTAAAAAAAAAAAACCTCGGTCATATGTTTAGGGTGAACTATTGGCTTTCCATAAAATGATGTGCATTCAAAGTTAAAATCATATTAAGGTCATACTTCTCGCTGACCTATATAGAGCAGTCCTTGCTTTTGATTAAACCCTTCTCAACCTACCTCCTAGCTATCTTTTGCCCATGCCTCATTTTTGTTTTTATTCCGGTCTAGATAAAATGTAGCACAGGTGTTGGTGCCCAGGTGGTGATTAGCTTGTCTGCGATTGTTCACAAACTTCTCTGCTTAACTTCTGGGAGGTTGATTGGATGTCGCTTGATTGGATGTCGCT